CAATTTATGACATGCTGCAGCTTCAACCACCAACCCGCTGTCTCACGTCGTGTTGAAGCATGGCACAGTTTAAATTCATGCTCTTATTTTAAAGTGAAGACGGTTACCTTTACTTCGTCATTTACCCAGAATGCATCGCTTCAGTTCTCCAATAAACAGTTTAAATGACATATATTGCATGCTTTCTTACCGAAGCCCTACCTACCTTAAACATAAGAAAAATGAGAAGCAGCAGAACTTGCAATCTACAACAACTTTTTATTTTAACAAGAGTCAAAAGTCTATTTCTGTAAATCACTTCCTCAAACCGCGACGAAATAAGGTATGGGTTGAAAGCAATATATRATGCCACTAGATTGTAGTAATGTGCAAGAAAGGCTCATGTTTTTACTGGAAATATACAGTATATTCTGGTGAACTGAGATGAATGCGCGGAATTGAATTAGCTTCTGTTAAAATTATTATGGCATGTGCCAGTTAGAACTTGCGGACCTGAATAAATTAATTAGCGCTTTAGAATTTGCAGAACTAACTTTTGATTTAGCGCTACCCACCACTGCCTAGATTAAAAAAGGGAAACATGATGCCTGAAGTCAAGTAGGGGTGTAACAATACATTGATCCACAACATTATGTCAGTTAAATGATTAATGTTTCAATTACATCAAGGTAAAACACAAATATTGATCCATATCAATATCATACGCCCAGTGTGGYTCAARATCYTATGTCCATCTAACACACAATGATTGTYTTAAAGGGGCATATAATATCACACCTTATTGATCACAGACTTGTAAATTGAATTGAATAAAAATCCTATGATGAAAAACTTTGTGATAATGTTTGTCATCCAAACAAATTGTTATAATACTGTATTGTGATAAAGCTGGTGATTTACARCGATACTATGAAGTGCTCAAAATAGCAGTGTTGCCAGATCTRGCGACAAAAACAAGCAACCAGCTCTATGAAAACAAGCCCAAAATAAGCCCAACACGCAAACCCCCACATTGTGTAAAATAGAGGTAAATTGTAACAGTACTGTATAAATGTATACATTTAT